CAGGAAAGTGGTGGGTTCCCCAACAACAGACACTTTTAAGACTCAGCTTGACAAAGTGCTGGGCCACCTCACCTAAATCGTGTTCTTACCTAGAAAGGTTGGTTCAGAGGATCCTTGAGGTCCCTTCCAACCTGGCATTCTATGATTCACAACTCTATGATGTAAAGTTACCTATGATTACATGGATCTTTCACACCCCATCAAATGATGTAACTAACCTATCAACAACACTTTAAAATAGTCAATATAATATACATAGACTACATGTATGGAAATCTACAGAGCCGCACGTATGGAAAAAAATAAATAAATCAAGCCATTAGAGACTACACACAGTTCAAGAAGCAATTTAACCACATCAGCTAAATTTAGCAACAGATTGAGTTAATCATTGCACAGGCAACCACGATTTAAGTCTCATCTTCAAGTAGGTCCCTGTGCACTAGATGCATAATTCAGAAGGGAAGTTAGTATGATGCCAATCAGAAAAAGTTCAGAGAAGAGGCCAATGACTGCATTTATTTGCAGTATTGAAGTAGCACTAAATCTCCCGCAGTCTCAGACAGTGATAATGAAGAATGTTTCTGTATGCATTCATGCATGAAGGGCATTTCTGTATGGGCATGTTAAAGCTCTCACAGCACAGATGCTGGTTTTACCAAATCACTCCTCTTTGTATATTAACATCAAACTCATTTTGCCAGGCTGCAATTTTAAAATATAAAGTCCCTCAACTCCACACAGACGAGTCTAAAATGCAAATCAGTGTATGCTGAATAGAGCTTAACCCAGGAAAGGCAAGAGTTGAGCCCAAATATTCAGCCTCTTCTAATATCACAGAGAAAACAAGAAAAGCTCACAAAAAATGTGCACCTCCTAATTAAATCTAGGCTATTCTCTATCACAGGGCACCACTGAAAATAGACTGGCCCACTCTTCTTGACACTCCCCCTTCAGATATTTGTAAACATTAACAAGATCCCCTCTCAGTCTTCTCCAGACTAAACAGCCCCAGGTCTCTCAGTCTTTCCTTATAAGGCAGGTATTCCAGTCTCTTAATCATCCTTGTAGCGTCTGTTGGACACTCTCTCATATATCCTTGTCCCTCTTGAACTGGAGAGCCCAGAACTGCACACAATACTCCACATGTGTTCTCACTAGGGCAGAGTAGATGGGGAGAACCTCTCTAGACCTGCTGGACACCCTCTTCTGAACACACCACAGGATACCATTGACCTTCTTGGCCATAAGGACACACTGCTGTCCCACAGTTAATTTGTTGTCCACTAGGACTCCAAAGGCCTTCTCAATGGAGCTGCTTTCTAACAGATCAGCTCCTAATCTGTATTGGTGAATGGTGTTATTTCTCCCCAGGGACAGTACACTACACTTAAATTATTGATTTTAAACAGTAAGTTAATAAATCATTCTAAAATTTGCCAGCCACAAACAATACAGGTTACATGACTGAAGACTCAGATAGTAGAGGCAAAAGTCTTTGTGAATAAATAATTAACCCTGAATAAAATATCTAAGTTGCTTTCACAATAGAAGTATTTCTAAAGACTGAAGCAGTCTTACCCACACAGCAATCTAACACAATTTTAATCTGTCTTCAAAAAATATAACTCAATATGCAACATTTTATGCACCAAACTATGAATGCAGTGATCTTAGAATTGCTCATGTGTGATGATAGAGGAGTTAGTTCTTTAGCTGGGCTAGTGAATTGGCATTTGGGGATGGTAAGCACAGGGGTCCCTTTTCAAGCCCTGCATTTGGTATTTTCTTCCTTAGTAGAGGCTCTCTGACTTTCTTTGTGGGTGACACCTGTAGTGTTGTAGGACTACAACGGAAGTTTAGAAAAGCCACTGCATGCCAGGAAGGGACAACTCTCCATCACCAACTCTGCACTGGGACATCAGCACAGCCCTGTGTCATCTGCCAATCCAAGCAGAGATGTCCTAGACCTGTGCATGCTACTTCACACAGGATGGTACATTAAGGAATCAGCAGCATTTGTAAACATATAATAACTGTATTTTTTTTTAACAATTTGACAATATTGGGGGCATTTTTATTAGTAAAACACACTAGGAAGTCCAGAGAAGCAAGAAAAGGCAAGACACTATTCTAATCCAAGTAACAAAATTAATTATTTGATTTAAAATTAAAATGCCTTTCTCTGCATGCAAAATAGATTAAATAAACCATTTTAATTTTTTATTATGACTTGTAAAGACATGGAGCTCATGGAGAAAGTCCAGAGAAGGGCCACAAAGAACTCCTACAAGGACAGGCTGAGAGTTGGAAGTGTTCAGCCTGGAGAAGACAAGGCTCTGGGGTGACCTTATAGGGGCCTTCCAGTACCTGAAGGGGCTACAGGAAAGCTGGGGAAGGGCTTTTTACAAGGGCTTTTAGTGAGAGGACAAGGGGTAATAGATTAAAACTGGAAGAGGAGAGATTTAGGTTAGATATTAGGAAAATATCTTTAGTATGAGGGTGGTGAGGCACTGGTACAGCTTGCCCAGGGAAGTTGTGGAAGCCACATCCCTGGAAGTGTTCGAGGCCAGGCTGAATGGAGCTCTGAGCAATCTGAACTAGTGGGAGATATCCCTGCCCATGCAGGGGGATTGGAATGAGATGATCTTTAAGATCCCTTCCAACCCATTCTATGATTCTATCATTCTTCAAAGCAGAAATTTAAAAAGAAAAATACAATTCTGTAGAAATCATTTTTAAGTACAAGCTTATTTTATTAACCAGAGTTTCCAGAGTGTATGTCTGTGACACATGAACGATCAGTGCTCAACCAAAAATTTGAACTTATGTTTACTAAAATTAGTTTTAATTTTTTTTAATCAAAGGCTGATTACTGTCAAGTATGTTCAACATTCTGTCTTTAAATACTCTTCAGCTACATAGAACTCCAGACTATTAAACACTAGATACATTCAATTAAACTCTCTATATAAGTTATGCTTAATCTGCACAAAGAAACGGAAGACACTTGATAATACTACATTGAGTATTAACAGCAAATATCTCAAAATAGGTTTTGAACCTTGATGAATAAATACAACATAGGTAAAATATTTCTTTAACAATTAACGTCTACAGCCTCCCATGAATAAAAGTAAGCAACAATGCTCTCATGCAGCATGAAATGCAGCTGAAATACAACAGTGCTGTAAAAATTCCTAAGTTTATATTATTAAAAAGAAAACACACACTGGAAGTTAAGACATGACAGCTGTGACTTTTTTAATCTCAAAAGCAGAATAAGAGGTCTGTAAAGCCAGCTACTAGAGAGACCAGAAGTCTGGGGGTCAGATAGTGGAGAGATCAAGGATCCTAAAGTCAGCCACTGAAGTGATCACAGGTATGGATTAGCCACTGGAGAAACCTTTGCTCACATGCTTTTATGCACACACACCTATGTGACAACAGGATACTTGTAAATACATATAGTAAGAGGAATAAAACTCACTGTCGCATTAAATAGTAAGCAATATGCTAATCTAATCATCTAGCAGTTGAGCATATTTTCAACCTCTGAAATGTCAATTTGGTTTACCCTATTTTTTGGGGACTACCTACTTTTCCTACCACACTTCTTCCCACCTTCTAAATTTACAGCAAGTGATCTTTTTTTCCAATTTCAATATATAACCATCAAGTTCCCTTACTATTTAATGGAAACTACAGGAGGAGCAGAAGGGAAAAAACAGTTTTTCTTTCAGCCTATTTCTTTCAAAGGCTGTTGCCATAACTTTCACATTTCTGTGTGCATCATATTGCTTCCTGATCTCTTCATTCCTCAAAATAAAGTTTCTTAACAGACACTGTGAATGCATGCATATGTAAGTTTTCCAGAACTCCTTTAAGTTTTTCCTGACTTAAGGTGCAGCCTCTTTCAGAACATATACGCTGATAAGCAACTTAAATATCATCAACCATATAACCAGAATTTAAAATTAAAGTACGCAGACATGAATTTCAGCTGAGGGGACAGGGTTACACACAGAGTGAGCTCTAGGATATAGGCAAAGTCAACAGTATCCTAAAGCACTGCTGCAATACTTTGCTTGTTTCAGAGTCCTTGAAGCCTCTGAAGAGGCTGCAGTTTCTGCCACAGGTGGCACCGTTGGGTGCAACAACAGAAAAAAGTGGTCCCTCCTGCAAACAGCTAATACTACTTTCGACTTCCTTATCCTCTCAGAAGGACAAACCTGCTCTCCAGCTTCTTCCTCAGCTCAAAAAAATTCTCTTTCCCAATGCTGAAGCAGACAAGCTGCAGTCCCCTAAAAAAAAAAACAACAACAAAAAAAAAACAGCTTTATTTATTCTAGCAGAGTTGTCTGCACTTTGGGATTGGCCCTTCATTAGCAGTACCCAGTGTGGCCCACAAAAGAAATACTACACAGCTGTTTTCATACTCTTCCACCAAAACAGATGTTCCTCAATGAAAAGTCTGTGGTGTGCATGTTGCAGCTGAGACAGACTGGGGGGTAGGTGGATTGTTCCCCACAAAGCTAGTTTAATACCAATAAATATAAATATTTTATCTGTTGCACTTAGAAGCAAAGAGTCAAACATTGAACTTCAGCAGATTTAGTTTAAATCTCTAAGATGACACATCAACAAAGTACAGATTATACAGAGTTTAAGTAATTAACATACAAATTTATAAACCAAATACATCACAACCACAAAAAACATGGGTTTATTTCTGTTTTCTACAGAATAAGGTTAGTGTTTAAACTATACTAGTGTCTCAGGCTAGCAGTACTTCAGGGACTTCTACAGCTTATCTTCATCATCACAGAAACATAAACCACCTTCCCAATGCTAACTCAAAACCGTCGGGACAGTTTCCAAGTTTCATTGGTCTTCAGTTTAGGGACTTAGCACCATTTTCAAAGCTATTTGTAAGAGATTCACATAAATACAAAGTAAGTGACGAGGGGTGTTCATAAGAGCTCCCTTGAACTACCTACCATTTAAAAAGGGGAGTAGAGAATATCCTTCCTGTTTACACGTTTGAGAAATCAGGTGCTCTGTAACTTGCTAGCACACTCAGGTAGCTTTCACTGCAAACAAAAAGACAAATTTCAACTTAGTTTTTCACAAACAGAATTACTAATTAGAATAACCTGAATAAAAAAAAATTAGGTTCAGTGATCAGTTAAAAAACTACTGAAACATGCATGAGTAGAATCTAGACATACTTTAAACTGTTTGGAGCTAATCATTATTTCATGTTACAGCTTAAGTTTTTTCAAGGTAAGAAAACAGCTTGTGCTATTTTATAAAATAAAACACTTAAAGACTGTGGAGACAAAAAATCTAAGATAATGGCCTATAGTAAAGCATAATAAAACACCAGATTTGAGTCCCACTGGGATACTTCACAGTAAATTGAATATTACTAAACACAAACCCACTAAAACAAAACACACTAAAAAAGTCGATGAGAGTATCTTGCAAAAATTAAGTATTGAGCTGTTTCCATGAACATTATATAGATCCTAGCATCAAGGGAATATTCTGACTTAAAGATGAACATTTAGTCATACACCAATTTTTTTAATAAATTATATTTTGGTAGTTGAGACATAGCTGCTCTTTCTGCAAGAACTGTACAAAGTTCTAAACTAGACCATTCGATCGTAAGAGACTGCTACTACAGCTGTATTTTTAAAGGCTGCTGCTACACACTCCTTGATAGAACTTGATTAGACATTTTAGACAATAAAAATTTACAAGAGAGATAAAAAACCTTCCCTATTTCAAGGACATTTATAAGTGGGATTTATAGCAAAGCCAAAGCATCTAGAAGAACATGACACTGTTCAGGTCACTGCACAGATTTCTCAAAGGCAAGACCATCAGTGTCCTAGACAACACCTCTTGTTTGCTGTCACTATCCTCCCTCAAAATATCAGAGCTTTAACAACAGAGTGCTCCCACCAGTAAGCACTGGTGCAGAGGCCATCTATTTCAAACATAATATTGCCCTTTAGTTAGCTTGATACCAAGATGTACCAATTGGCCAAGGCCTTGGTCCTCTCATGCTTACAGAAGGAACTGTTCTGAAGTTACACATTATAAAAGGCTCAGGTATATATAGTTCATCACATTCAGAGTTCTCCCTGTCTTATCACCAGGACAGGTGTACTGTACAGGGAAGAAAGTGCCTTCCAAATGCTGCTTCACAATCCTGACTAAAATCACGTCAGACAGGATCCTATTAACTGAAGTGATTTGAAACAACAGCGTATACCTCTGGCTCAAGGAACAGTAAATCTGCTTTAGAGCAACCAGCAGTACTACACTGAAAAACACTAGAGAACAGATGCCACAAAGCACTAGCCTAGGTCACTGAACTTTATATAGAACTCAAAGCCTCTAGTACTATGAGGGTGGCTGAGGATACATTTACGCATCACAGTAACCTCAGCAGCAAAGACACCTTACAAGGTTCTTGGTTCCCCACATTAGCTACTCGTTCTTGTCTACACACTGCAGTTCACTATTTCCATCAGTAAATCAACACAAAGTTTATAGTGCTGCACTATATAAACAGGATCCCTGAATCCATCCTGTGATGAAAGAAGTCTCCACTCAGGTCAGCAATATGCAAACCTTATACAGGGATGGGAAGGAAGCCAAATATCACCGCATGAATGGCAAGAATGAGACTATTGCAGTTTCCATGGTGAAATGATATCAACTATCCTGACATATATCCCAGGGGTTAGTAAAAATCCTTATGTGGTTAAAAAAAGATATGGCCAAACTTAAACAGTTTTAAATCTTTAAAAAAAATAATAAATAAAAACAAAAATACTTATTTAAGTAAAATATTTAATAAGACCCAGGATAATCCAGAGAAGAAATGCTGGAGCCTCTCACTACATGCTCTACATTCAAGAGACATAGTTATGATGAAAAAATATTGCAGATGCATGCAACATGAGATACAGAAAGAAAAATATATTTCAGCATATGATTAACTGTCCAACAATAACTATCTACTGGCATAACTATGACTATACCTTTCAGAATCATAGGATTGTTTTGGTTGGAAAAGACCTTTAAGATCATCAAGTTCAACCACTAACTGAGCACATTCCCAAGTCCATCAACGAACCACGTCCCAAAGCACCATATCTACACTTCCATGGATGGTGACTCCACCACTTCCCCAAGCCTGATGACCCTTTCAGCAAAAAAAAAAAATGTCCAAATATCCAACCCAAACGTTCCCTGGCACAACTTGAGGCCATTTCCTCTTGCTCTTTTGCTTGTTACTTGGGAGAAGAGGCTGATCCCCATCTCACTACAGCCTCCTTCCAGGTAGCTCAAAAGAGCAATAAAGTCTCCCCTCATCCTCCCCTTCTCCAGGCTAACCAACCCCAGTTCCCTCAGCTGCTCCTCGTAAAACTTGTGCTCCAGATTATCTCAATCTTTGAATGGATTCTTTCTTTCCCATAAAGTGTTCAAGAGGAAAGAAATCCCAATGAAAGACATTATAAGATTCTTACTCACTGACAAGTACATCAGTGACCCCCCTACCAAGTGCCCCACTGGACTCATATTCACTGACTACATTACAGAAAGTACTGAACAGTTTCAATGGGATGATGATTTAGAAATGCAAAACATACAGCCCTGAGTTATCTTTAGAAATCTGTATCCAGCAGAATTTTGTTTAAATTCTGTGTTTTAAAACTTTCTAAACAGGACTTCTAGAAATGAGGAGCCTGTATGCAGGCTATCCAAAGAACAAGCTTTATGGCACACAGAGGATTACTTCAGAAATCCACGGGGAAAAAAAAACAAAACTCACAACAAAACACATAAGGATTTAATGCCAGACATAACTTTTATACAGATTGAGGATTAAAAGTACCCAAATGGTAGGACATCATCAAAATTATGGGGAAAAAAAAAAATGATTTTATTTTAAAGTCTGCTTTCTGGAGTGAGGGGAGGGGTTTTAAAACATGGTTTCATATATGGAGATCCAAAGCTTATCACTCTAGTTTGAATTACAAAGTAACTGTTTTATCACTGGATACACACAAAAAAGGAAGTGGTTTAACTTTTGAGGTCCCTTCCAACCCCTAAGATTCTGTGATTCTGTGAATTGGACACAAGATAATAATAATACCAAACTGTGAGGTGGTGTTGACTCTTCTGAGGAAGAACAGGCACAGGGATCTAGATAGATTGGTGCACTGGTCTCTGATTAATGGGATGAAAAGTAACAAGACCAAATGCCAGATCCTGCCCCTAGGACAGAGCAATGCTGGGCACAAGTATAAATGGGGAGAGGAGTGGCAGGAGAGCAGCCCTAAAGAGGGAGTTCTGGGGGTACCAGTTGGCCACAGGCTCAGTACAAGTCAGCCATGTGCCCTGGCTGCCAAAAGGCAAATGACATCCTGGAGGCATCGAACAGCATCACCAGGAAGTCAAGACATAAGATTATTCCACTATCCAGTGTTGGTGCAGCCTCACCTTGAGTGCTGTGCACAGTTCTGGGGCCCACCGTTTAGAGAAGGAATTTAAGGTCCCTGAATGCATCCAAGGGAGAGCAACAAAGCTGGTGAAAGGCCTAAAGGGATGTCCTGGGAGGAGCAGCTGGGTACTCTGGCCTTGTCTACTTTGGAGAAAAGGAGGTTGAGGGGCAACCGCATTGCTCTCTGCAGCTTCCTAAGAAGAAATAGCGGAGAGGGAAGTACTGATCTCTTCTCACTGCTATCCAGTGACAGGATACATGGGAATGGTTCAAAGCTGTGCCAGAAGGTTCAGCCTTTCTTTATGAACCATTTCTTTATGAAGAGGGTGGTCAAACACTGGAAGAGGCTTCCTAGAAAGCTTGTTGGGTTTTAAGAGGCATTTGGACATTGCTCTTAATAACATGGCTTTAACTTTTGGTCAGCTCTGAAGTGGTCAGGCAGTTGGACCAGATGACTTCTGTAGATCCCTTCCACCTGAAATATTCTATTCTTATTAACAGCTCTCTCTCATATTTACATACTTAGGTATGCATGTGGATATACTTAATATTTATAAAGCCTTTCATAGCAATAGATATTTATCTCTATATATAAACAAAAGCTTTATAGAAGTTCAGTAGGACTCACATTGGAAAATATTTTTGAAAAGCATGGCTTTTCCCCCAATCTAAAAGCCTCAAAAAGCATTTAAATTATTTTTAGACAGACATAGATATCATACAAATTAATCATTAAAGAGTCACCATTTATATAATTAAACTTCAATGGAATTAAACAGTGACTCCTTACAGTTGACCCCCAGGACTCAATTAAGGACATTACTATGTAAAGAAATGAGAAGCGTGAGAAGGAAGGTAGAGAAATTAAAGCATTTTTTACAGGTGAAACTTACATATTTAAATTATTCTCTTTTACACCCCAGCTGGAGAGCTATTCTTGAAAGAGATCAGCATACTCTAATATTTACTACATGGCTCAAGTTTATCCCAACTTCTCAAGAGTTTTCTTCACCCTCCTCCTGTTTTTAAAGGGTCAGGTAATACTGGTAGGTTTGTTTGTTTCTTTGGGGCCTATTTTGCTATTAAAAGTTTACTTTTAAGCCAGCTCAACTGACGTAGTTTTGCATGGATGTGACCTCAAATCTCGCTCAATGTAGAGGAGCTTAGCAGTTTAGGAAGATCAAATAAATCACAGAAATTCAGAAGTATGTGAAACAATGCTCACTTTTCTTTCAAAAAGAAGGTTGAACTGGCTTAAAGCCATCATGCATGCTTTTACCATGAGATTTTTATAGTTTTAATCAAGACCTGTTTTCATAAAAGAGAATTTTAAAACTACTTCACACTATTTAATAAGTAAGGGAAATCATGAATTTCATAATCCTAAACACATAACACATACAGGTTATCTACTGATTGGACTCAACACCAAGAAGTTGATATTAACTCAAGGGACCAGATCTGCCTGTTGCCACTAAATAAATTCAATAAAGCCTATTCTTCAGATTACTTCAGTATCATTTTCACAGCCATGATTACTACCATCTGCTGGGGGGGAAGGTAGTCAGC